CACACACACATTTTGTGTTTCCATGTTTTATGGGGACATTCCATAGGCGTAATGGTTTTTTTATACTGTACAAACTGTATGTGCTATTGCCCTGCACCAACCCTACCCCTAAACCTACCCCTTACAGGAAACTTTGTGCATTTTTACTTTCTCAAAAAAACTCATTCTGTATGATTTATAAGCTTGTTTCCTCATGGGGACCTCAAAAATGTCCCCACAAGGTCAAAATTTACTAGTATTACTATCCTTGTGGGGACATTTGGTCCCCATAACGTGATAAATACCAGGTACACACACACACACACACACACACACACTTCCAAACAAGTCAGCGTAAGACATGCACTACACTTATGCACACAAGCACATGCTCACAGCTTCTTGATGCATGTCTTTTATGCAATGCACTGCAAGAAAATTAGTTCTCAATCATTTTATAGTAAAAATATCCTTAAAAAAGATGCATTTACTTTAGAATCAATTATTACAATACATTTAAACTTGTTTTTGTAGAATACTTGTTCATTTAAGTTTATTTTTATCCCATGTATGATATATGTACAATGCAATGTCAAGATGTTCTCTCAAAACAAATCTTCATATTTTACACAATTGTGCTTCTCAAGTAATGTCTTTTCTTCACGTATCCACTCTCATCAGTGGTTTCTCTCTCTCTTCTTGCCATGTCTCGTCACACTCCCGCAAAACCACAGCTCTCTTCAGAGTCTTTTCCAAACTAGCCTGGCGTCTGTCTCCCCCTTACTAACACCCCTCTCTCTCTCTGTGTGTGTGTGTGTGTGTGTGTTCTTACATGTCAAAATATAGACCTACAGTGGCCCTCAAAAGCACTAATGCCACACTTTAAAGAAGTTTAAATGTCTTTACATTAGATACAAAGTATCAAAGCACAAACACAAGCAAAACATTTGATGGAAGTGTGTTGGGTTTGAAATGCTAGATGTATTGTGACAGATACAGATCTAATCAATCACATTCAAACATTTTTATTTGTGACTTCAGCATCCAAATACATTCTGCAGCTCCTGTATCGACTGTTGTGCAAATTATGTAAAGAGCTGCACAATGAACATAAATTAGAAGGTACATTTCATTCACAGATACATCTTTATACATGTAAACAAATAAATACAGAACATTCAGTTTCTTGCATTACAATTATACACTCATAGACAATAGAAAACAATGTGATACAAATTATTCAACAACATCTAAAAAAATACACGCTTACTAATTGCAAATTGCATCATGATTTGCTTTCTATGCTAGTACAGCACCACTAAGTGGTCAAATAATAACATTGCATTCTAGTCATAGTCTAGTGGTGCTGTTGTGGTGAAATTGATTTGAAGATTGAGTGAATAAAAATGTCATTAATTTCTATATTTCATAGTTACATGGACAGAAATGTCACTTTGTCTTCTTTTGCATTTATATATACAGAATTGAGTTTTTTTTTAAACAGATGTAATGCAAAAATGTTTTCCTTTATTAATTTATGGTTGAGTAATGCAAACTTGAAACGTCACAAAAATTCTGAAACTAAAATAGATAAATACAATCTAATTTTCAAGAAACGGACTTAAAAATGAAAAATATTTAAAATGTAATTAAAATTTAATATATACTAAAGTGCCATTCAAGAGTGGTTATTTTATGATATTAATGTATAGCACCAATATCCAACAGGTGCAATGTTCCCCGATGAAAAAAAATGTCACAATAATAATGCATAAATGTGAAAATGTAGAGTATATAAGTGCACATTTAACACAGGTAGAAATAAAGCAAATGCAGCTACAAAAACAACACTGCGTGAAGCACATCATCTTCTGGCAGTTTTCTTCATTTCCAGACTTCTAGTGGGTTTTTGAACCTGGATGTTCCTGGCGGGATTCACTACACATCCGTTCTCCTTATAATGATCCAGAAGTTTTCTCCACAAGACGCTGCAGCGCAGCAAGTTCTCATTACCTGTCAAAATAGCAGAATTACGGCACTGCAATCCAAGCATCAAATATAAAACTGTTGGTAATTATAAACAGTGTTGGGGGTAATATATTACAAGTAACGCAAGTTACGTAATCAGATTACTTTTTTCAAGTAACTAGTAAAGTAACGCGTTACTTTTTAATTTACAAGAGAATATCTGAGTTACTTTTTCAAATAAGTAATGCACGTTACTTTTTTTTTTTAATTTATTGATTGACAGCTCTCTCCATGTTGAGAGAAATCAGAAGATGTTACTGTAGTTCTAAAAAGAATCTGTGGCATTTACGGTAAAATACCGGCAGCTGTGGTTGCCAGAACGTCACCATAAAAAATATGGTAGCAACATTTTAGGTTTTACAGACTTAACTTAAATTCACAATAAAATACCGAATTTCATTAACCTGATGTAATGTTAATAAACCAACATATTGAAGTACTAATATCTGTTTTGAACCATTGTAATACTGATAACCACCAAAAACTGGTGGTGATGAGAAAGTCACATGATGAACCAAAGCTCATCACAAACAGCTTTTCTACGAGCTGAGGAGGACATTATTCACCGAATATAGTATGGAAACTTACTGTTAACCAGTTAATAGGGTTTTACTGTAGCATTTTTACAGTCTTTTACTGTTAAAATCACAATCATTTTTTACAGTGTACATAATGTAGGTAAATTTAAAGAAGGTTTAGTGTTATTATAAAGGTATTTAGCTTAAACCTGACATAAGATGAAGATAAATGATATATTATACCCTCATAGGACTGAATAATATTCATGCTTAAGAGACAAAAATGACGATGTGCGTGTTATTTTGCATTATTCCAATAACAGGTGTTACGGACCAAATTTTTCACACATTATTGACTCCCACAAGCCTAGATGGCGTAACTAACCAATGATGCACAGGCCTTCTTGTGCCCTGGTAATGCCCACGTTCACTTGGTGTGGGTCCATGATGAATCCAAGTCGGTTTATAATCCAGGATTTGGTTGGTTGTGCTTCTATATCAGATTTGGGACAAGAGCGCACAGTTGACATGATGACATATTTCCATTCACTTCCTGTGGCCAACAAACAAAGGAGAAAAGATCAGAAATAATCAATTCAGAAACAATATCTACATGCCTTTGTCAAATCATACAATCATAAACACAACTTAAGTATGAATGCCTTGTATTTGTGCCTTAAAAACCATTTAAACGATAAAAATTCCTTTTTTAAAAGAGAGCTAAATAATGGTTGATTGTAATGTTCTGTCATGGGTCAAGGTTCAGTGTTAAAGGTTTTAGTAAGATTTAAACAAGATCATGCTTATTGATGTTTAGTGTGCCACTATTGTAAAATGGCATGTTAAAATTGTCAGTACCTTGACTTTTCATGATGGTGTTGATTGTGATGTCTCTTATACCCTTATCAATCAGGGACTCCCTAATGTTTGACACTTGAGCATTATATGGCGTGAGAATGGCGATGTCCTTTGTCTTTATTCCAGCCTCAGTCAAAAGAATGGCGATCCGCACCTGTTGGAAGATCATCACAATTTGAAATAAACTGATATATAATTTTATAATATATCCTTAGGCGGCATTTTGAATTTAGAACAATAAATTGTTTGTGGCAAAAATGGGTGGGGCTTCTACATTTAAATAATTTCTTTATTTATATATTTTATTTTCTGTACCTAAGACTTTTATGCATCTTCATGTACTGTATTCATGTAAGAATCTTTGTAATTAATTTAACTTTTAAATTAAAAAGGTACTTTCTATTATATCTCCAATAACGTCCTGAAATTTGAATGTTACAAAAGGGAGCGCGCCGTTGGGAGGAGTCGTTACTCTGTCTCCTAGGAAACTTAACCGCCAAAATTTGCCGCCCAACTGCATCGACTGAGGGAGAAGCTTGCAGAAGAGCGTAAATCTAATGCTCTCTGCATCAGACGGAGTTATTAGGTAAGTAAGTTTATTAATATCAGTGTTTTGTGAAAATAACAGAATTTACACAGTATTTGTCCATTATTTAGAAACGGTTGTCATGTTGTATTTTGACGGATGTGTTAAAGAGGGACGAATCCACCCGTTGTGCCAGGTTAAATATTAATTTTCTCCTTTGAGACCATATTTTAGTCATTTTGAACCTCAAGATGGCGCCAATTAGCTATTTGCTATTAGCTATTACTAACTCGCGTTGTTATGAAAATATACATAGTGGAGTAGCCTATGAGACACGAAAGTAGTAGAAGCGGTATGTTAAATATAAAAAAAATAGTTCTACAGTCGGGTCAGTGGATGTTTAAGGCTTAGCCCAGATCTCCACGTATATGGAGCCATTCTTTGATTAAATATCAGAGTATTATACTGTATGCTGCGCTATGTAGAAGTTCAGATATCTTAGGTTTATAATCTTAGATAATAGTTCCTTCTCTTACTTTATAAACAAACAAACAAAAACTACTGTACCGGCAGCAACCTTCAAAATGAAACAACCCGCAAATAAATTCTCTCTTGTGTAACTTAAAAGGCTATAAAGTTTAATTTAAAGTATAGCCCAAAATCCTTTTTTAATCTACTAAATTACACTTCTCTTACCGCTTCTTCTGCCTCCTCCAAATTTGCTTTTGAATTTTCATTTCCCCGTTCAGTCGAGACCACCAGACTTTTCTCCTTTCCTTCAACATGGCCGAAAACTATGCATGTTTGCCTTGACTTAGTAAGGAAGAGCCTTGGTTTGGGGGATGTTTTAGTTTTTAACTTTCCGTCATAAAACTCCTTAGATGGAAATTCACAAATGTCTTCTTGCTGTAAGAGACAAGATATGCAATGGAGAAATGTTTATTTGAATTAAGTGAAACTACTGCTTTTTAATTGTTTAGATCATTGTTAAGTATCACTAGATAAAAAAAAAAAATACTATTCATGAATAAAAACTATAACGGAACAGAAGTTTATCTTTCGAAAGCAAACAACAGCATCAGACAGAAATGTTTTATTTTACAGTATTAGAGCTATTTATTTTATTATTTAAATAGCTATTTAATTTATTACCATTCTGTACTGAGTGTCAAGCATGAGTGCTTTCTCCATGTAACGTTCAAAAAGAGATTTGCTCATTCCCAATCGCTCCACCACATCACAGTGGACTACAGGTTGCAGCTGCTTATGATCGCCCAGAAGAACAATCTACAACATGAAATTAGTAGGATATTAAGAACCTAAAAGATCTTTGTTCAATGCAAACATAATGAAATGAAAATGCTAATATCCAAATCAGTGTTTGTCTAAAAAGAACATTGCTTTGGAGCCATACCTGCTCAGGCTTGTGAGCCACTAGGGGAATAAAGGCTTCAGGTTCAGTTGCCATGGCACATTCATCGATGATGATCTGTTTGAAGTCGAGGACTTTAGCTAAGGCAGGGTGTGAGGCTGCTGTGCAAGTGCACAAGATGACATCATGCTGCAATAATTCATGTTTTCGAGCCTTTTGGAGGGTGTCTTTGTAGCTTTAAAAAAAGTTTGTTTTTTTTACATTAAATTAGCTTTTCATTTCTATGAAATTGTGTCCAAACAATTTCTAACAAACAAGAAACAATAACATAGAATCAAAAAGAGATTTGTAGTTACTGAGCCATACATACAGTTTTTTTTCTTCACCAGTAAATTGATCTCCTCTTCTAATTTTCATATCAAAAGCAAATATTTGTGTGGAATATGGGTTGCCATCCTTTCGAATCAGGTGGTGTAGTGCAATGGAACTAATAATACAACAACAACACACATCTGTTAGTGGAAAGCCAGGTTTAGATGTATAAACACGCATTTTACATTGGCAGTTAGTATCTACACTCAGATAAGTGACAGATGGACAGTATTTGGCAAATACCTGAGCTCTGTGTTGGGTTTTTCGCCTCTTTTAGAATTGCGTGACAGCTTCAGATTGCATCCTGGGTAAGGAAATTCCAACATTTCCATCTGATCACTGTAGACTCTGAGAGGTCTAAGTTGATTTTGAAGTTTTAGGAGATGACCTGCAACACATTCATATTGACAGTTTACGTTGCAGTAATCCTTGTTCAAGTACCGTATTGGCCCGAATATAAGACGACCCTGATTATAAGACGACCCCCCTTTTTCCAGATGTACCTTTTGGAAATTCGGGTCAATACGGTAATAAATTGTGGTGTAACTCCTTCACTAGAGGGACCGAACTGACAAAATGGATAATAATTGGCTATACAGAAAATTTACCTGCAACAACATCAACCGATTTATTTGAGGGGCCACAGTACAGAACAGCTCCCTTCTTCTGTGAATTGGTGGCAGGAAGCTGTTGGATATTCTTGAGCAACCAGTACACAATATGGACACCAACAACAGTTTTTCCAGTCCCTGTGAAAATACACAACAATAATATAATAGGGAAGGAATGGCAATTACAATAGCCTAGGGCCAAAGAAAGTCAAATATTTCTCACCTGGTGGTCCTTGGATAAGAGTGAATGGGTTGGTCAGTGCTTCTCTTATAGCTTTGCACTGACTGTTGTTTAGATGGGAAAACCCAGAAGGGAGATAATTTTCAATCTCAAATCTGGCTGTCGTCTGCCTTGAAATGTTGCATCCTTTGAGGAAATACAGTGTTAAACAAAGTAAAACTGCATTTGATAATTAAAAAAAAAAAAGATGACTAGTAAATCATTAGTTTTGATAGCAGAGCTTGACATATAAATATGCAAAACGTTATAATGAGGCAGTAAAAGTCAAACTGTTGTACCTCCTTCAGAGTTGATTTTCCTGCCCATGGCGATATCTTTTACGAGTTTGTTGGCTTTGGTTAGACTGCTAATTGCGTCCTCTTTGCGCCTGCAAATAAAATAAAAAAAGCATAACAATTAATGAAGCATACATATATTGTTTGAAGATGTGATCATAATCTAAGGATACACATAAAACAATACAGTGTACATAAATAGAAAATTTTTAATAAGCTATAGTGTCTATCATTTGTAGTCTTACACATCTGGCAGAAGCTTTGGAATCAGCTCCAGAGTAAATCTTGTCCTCTCGCAGAATATGGCTTCTGGAATATTTGTCATAGGCATGTGGTTAATCTGAAAATCAATTTGTAAATTCTTTGGTTCTTTGGAGTCAGTTTCTTCAACTTCCGTAATTATGGCATGGGCCACCCAAGTGATAGAAGGAATATCCATGAGAGCTGTGCACTGAGAGTTTTCCAGAAAGGGACTACTCTGACTTTGGTGAATCTTAGTTCGAATGCAGAGGAAACTGTTCCTAAGGTCACATTCAATAGACCACTGGGATTTTTTGTCAAGCGGAAGGAGAAAAAACCCCTCATGCGTCTTTTGAGGAGAGGTTTTCCATTTCAAGACTGCATCTTCAATAATAATACTCTCATTTTCAGACACAGCATTGGAGGCTGACTCCATTTCACTCAAAGGTTTCCATATTGCCTGATAATCCATGTACGAGTTGTATGTATTCCTTGATGAGTGGAATGCATATTTTGAAAAACACTTGATTGGATCTTTCACATGCTCCAAACAAATCTCAAATTTTGGATGCACAACAAACAGCTGAATTGCTGGTGTCATTAATCCTCGAGCAGTGGCTGTACCTAGCTGCACCTCGACTGCCTCACCTTGCTTTATTTTCAGCGACAGTTCGGCATAATGCTCAGCATGCATGGGATCAAATTTTTCTGAACTTTTAGCATTTCTCAGTCTTTCCTGGAATTGTCTTGCATGGACTCTTGAGCTGACGTCAAGCTTCTCAATCAGGGGAAACAATATGTCCCAATTTTCCTCTCTAAGAGCAGCTGCTAGGCATTTCCAGGTCTTTGTAGAGACATAGGCCATGACTGAGTTTGGATTTTGTTGTTTCACTTCAGCAAGGATGTGAGGATTGGAAAATGAATATATCCTTCGCACCCATTTCAAGATCATGCAGTTGTTTGCTTCATCAAACTCTGGTTGATCTGCCAACTGAAGATCCCTGTACATAATGTCTAAGTTTTCTGATATAGAGGTTCTGTTAAGTGGGAAGGATAATCTGAAGTTTGTCCCTGACGGATTGAGTTCCACAATGTATGCCACCTTCTTTTCGCTTTGGGTTGAGAGTTTTAATGCAAAATGTAGAGCATTCGCTTTCCTCTCATATGCTGACTGTTGGTCATTTTTCCTGGAAAATTCCATACAAGACAGGTCAATGTCATGAGCTGTGTACCTAACATTGGTCTTGTCAATCACAGAATGAAGAAGGCGCTGCACAATAACATCTATATATCGGCGGACTGGAGATGAGGCCCAAGTATAGCTGTCAAGGTCTAAATCATAGTGCCCAATTCTTGAGACATGTGTCGAGTTTGATCGCAGAATACATGCTTTGTGACACAGTCTCCTAAATGCAGTAGCAAAAGGAAGAAGTTGGGGGTGAATCTCATCAGTTGCAATGAAGTCAATTATTTTGTAGATATTTTTCTGCTCTGCTGCTGTCTTCAAGCATCTCAAAACAGATTTTAATATGGGGATGGTTTCAGAATCAGAAATCTCAGCCTGAGGGTTTGGCATGGCTGTGTGGTGGATCAAACCTTGGTTATTCAGTTCATGAGACACGTATACACTCTCAGGAGCTCTACTTGAGAAGCGAACAGACAGTGGAATCAAGGAAGCATTTTTGTCAAAAAGGTCAATAAGCTTTTCCCTTTTTGGCCTGTTCTGGCATCTCAGTGGAGTTAAGCTCCTTGTTGTTTCATCAGACAGAAGGCGTTCAGCAATTGTGTGGTTAAACATGATCATCAGCTCTTCCACCATTAGGTGAGATCGCCTTCTTCCAAGAGTCACGTCCTCGTCTGGCATTTTGTAGCACCAGTCGTCCTGCTTTCTGTATTTCCTGTGAACCTCAGCAAAGTTCCATGCTTTCAAAAGGCACATTTCAAGCAGGTCATAATGCTGACGATTGTTTTCAAGGATGTCCTCAGCTTCATCATATGAAAACTTCCTCTTGGAGTGAATGACAGACTTGCAAACTAATCTTTTCTTTATGCAGTTTGTCTTAGTATCCACTTGTATTATCAAGGAGATTGCTCGTCTGTCATGGTTAGGAATCAAACTGAAGAAATTGGCACTCAGTTCTTTAGGGAACATGTGTATTGGCTCCATTCCACATGGATAGAATGAAGTACACAGCAGTTTTGCATATTTGTCCAGTTCACTGCCTTTAGCCAGAAAGCTAGCAACATCAGAAATGTGAACTCCTATTTCATAGCACTCACCTAAATCCATTACACTGATTGCATCATCAAGGTCTTGTGAATCGGCAGGATCAATGGTGAATGTTGGGAGCATGCGAAAATCTCTTCGCCTGTCTTCAAATAAATTAAGACTTTGAAAGTCTTGCATCTGTGTTTCTAAAGATGAAGAAAGTGTCCTTCTCAACTGAAACTCTATGTTGAGTACATTCAATCCATCATCCAAATTTGTTATTTCTGGAAACAGCCCCACAGCAATGCCCAAGGGATATCGGCAAAGCTTCCTCCACTTAAGGACTTTGACAACAAAGAGATATTTTCTGTGTCTCTCCTCATTTATTTTGATAAATTTCTCTATTTTGAGGTTCTTAGGATTTCTTACAGCAATGTGGTTTGGTTTGTCTTTCCAGAATGGTGTGTAGATTTTGGAGATACATTTGTTGATAGGTGTCATCACTTGACTGTCATGTCTTTCAAGGGTGCAGACAAATTCTTTGACAGTATCCGCACTTTCCAGGATGTTGATTACTTTCCCCGTAGGAGGATTTGATATCTCACTCAGGATCTCCACTGTTACCTTGTCTCCAGGAAATGCCTGTCCAATGTTTTTTCTGCCCTTGATCTCGATTCTTATGGAGGGCTCGTCAAGTGGTTTAGCATAAGCTCGATCAAAACAATCCATGACCAGCTCACAGTGTTTATGTGTTGTAGAGTTAGTAAACAATTGCTCTTCATCTACTTCTGCAATTTGGTTGCTAACACTACTGATAAATTGCTCATGTTGAAAAACTGGAAACAAACCTTCCTCTGTCAATGCAATGTTGATGTCTTTGCTCTCATCAAGAAGCTCTTGAAGTATTGGGTCTTCTAGGTCTGATATTTCAGATGTAGTTGATTCACTATCGCTGCTCTCTTCATCCTCACTTCTGCAGAGCTCAGATATCTCAAGGAGATCTTGTTTCAAAGAATCCAAGTTAAAGTCATGGGCACTTCCCTTGTTGATGCAATCCTCTATGTACGATCTCCATAGTCTCCAGCATGTACCGAACTGATGGCAAGAAAGTGCAGCTGCATCTCCAACAACAAATATTTGAGATTGGGCTCTTGTCATAACTGTGTTCAGCACTCGCATGTCATTGAAAAACTCAAGACAGGTCCGGTCCGTCTCCAATAAACTGTCCTTGGTGTGCACAGTGGAAATCACTATTACTCTGAACTGTTTTCCTGAAAAATATGAGGAAAGGCAGTATGCTCTGTAAATCACATGCATCAATACTAGTGTGTTTGGCATAATATTACATTTGAGTAATGCATCATTTTTACCTTGCACATTTTCGGCATTCTCCACAGTGAAACGGGGCAGTCTAAGCTGACGCAGTCTTTGCCTTATTTCCAACACCTGAAACACAAAAGAGGCAAAAGCATCTGGTATAAACACACTGACATGAATTTGATACAATAACAGGATGCCATTAATAAAATCATAATACAAATCGGTAAATATCTATAGGTTTGATACCTGTCTGCCTTGAGATAGGACACAGACTGATTCTGGATCTTTATCACCCCACTCTTGAGGCCATTCCTCCATTATTCCTTGCACAATGTCAACGACACTTAGAATTTGTTCCACATCACTGTTTTCAGCTTGGTAGTAATAGAAGAGGCGATTGAGCAGGGTTTGTTCTGAGCATTTGTCTTGTTTCACAGAGAAGAGCTTGGGTCCCATCTGCATGTGGTCTCCTGCTAAAACAACACGTGTATTTTTACCTGCTAAGCCCAGTGCCATAAGAGCCTCACACTCCAACATCTGAGAAGCTTCATCGATCAGAATGTGGCTGAAGTAGTTTTCAGGCAGCTTCATGTCATGGAAGAAACGTGCTAGGGAAGTTGTTGTTATGACGATTCTTGCGGAATCTAAAACAGCTTTATCAGGAAACTCAAAATGAGTGCCATCTCTGGATAAATGGCAGTACTGTAGAGTGATGCGATCAGTGGATCTGGGATTGCTTTCCTTTGCCTTGATTCTCAAAGGTTTGGCTTCATGATGAACAGTTGCATAGTCATGAAAATGACCATTTACATAAAGATCAGCAGAACTGTATCAAGAAAAAAAGAGAAACAACTGTAGCTTACAATGACTGCATTAAGCAATTAAATTAGCAGACAAAGTCATTCCAAAATGACACTGCCTTCAAGGTACGCATTTTATCTGTTTATGCATTCTCTGGTAATCCATGATCTTGCCGTTGCTTGCACCATGCTCTACTGTTTGAGCGGGAGGAATGCAATTTAAAAACAAATGTATAAAGGCCATTTCACTGTTGATAGGATCAGCACGTTGTGTTTTGGATGTTGGTGTGCCATTGTCGCCACAAGGCTTTTTAACTGTGCTAGGCCAGAAACAAACGAACTAACCAGCATAGAGATTCATGTTATTCTGAGCTGGAATATATTTTCTGGAATTGCATTTACACAGACAATTTAATGCAGGACATGAATGCATTTAACCTGCAGTTACAAATGCATAATTAATGGTTTGATGTAAAAAAAACAAGTTGAATACTGATATTTGAAATGATTTGGGGGGGAAAAGGGAAAATATACTTTAAATATAAAACCTAAAATAATTTGTTCAATCGGCTGATTGATTCAGTAACAAAACACCATTGTGTGTCTAAAATGTAAGTCACTTAATGTTAACTTCTTTTTATTGAGCTGTTCATCGAATCAATATCACATTTGCAATTGTGCTGATATTTAGAGAAATACATCACTCTTCGTGTGATATTAACTATATCAGATGAGATAAATATAAAAGACATAAAAGTCATATGGGGGCATTTTTGCCCCCATATCTTGAATTTTTGGGGAATTCTAAATATTTTAATGGGCTAAATCACATAGTGAAAGCGTGGACTCTAAATGTGCTTGCGCAGTAGTCTAACCTATATTATGTACAGTAGTGTATGCATGCACTCTCTGGGTGTGTTTTTGTTTGGTTATTGCGATATACTTGATAATGTCAAATCGCATATCAATTAAACAACAATTACGATATTACACCCCTATTCTGAGCTGGTCGTTTCAGGAGGATGACCTACTTCTGTGGAGCAGTACTCTGAAGTGCCAATGAATTGTGATGCCTTACCTGTTTGTGTGTGTGCAAATCAATATTTTGTTTTGTGGTTGCTGCACAAGAACCTGGGCCATCTTTGCAATGGTTCGAGTTTTCCCTGTTCCAAAAGGTCCATGTATCAACAACGGTGGGATGCTGCTTTTGTTGTCTGTTACACTCATAACAAAGTTCATTGCTGCTTGCTGCTTCTCGTTTAACAGTTCTGTATCTGACTGGGAAGATATACAGAAGTTGCTGTTTTTCAGATCAGGTAAGACTTTGTCTAAGTCGGGGAGATCATCAATGGCCTTGTGCATTTCGCAGAACCATAGACGATTTAGTTGGAAATGGACTTCCATCTCACACTGCTGTCCTTTTTGCAGATTCAGATCAGTGCAGCATTCTTTGGAAAGCTGCAAAATTACTTGTGTCTCAGTGGCAGCATCTTTCAGAAATTCGGCCTCATAAGTATGCCCAAGGTAATCATTATTTTTCACAACACGAACAAGAGATCTGATAGCATGTCTTTTCACTATGAAACCTTGAGGAGTATCAGGAGTGAGTGGGTGAGACAGAGGCACAGCAGCAAGAAGAGCCTCGGGATAAGCACATTTCAATCCAAACCTGTCATCAGACAGGTATTTTTCCAACTGCGCTGTCCCTCGTAGATTCAGACTGGAAATATTTTGGGGACAGAGAGAGTACATTAGAATTGTTATAAATTGTCAAGTATTTGGTTTAGACCGAAGAAATATAAATACCTGCTAAGCAGTTCACCTTCTACCTTTTCCTCCTGATATAAAAAATTGTGCATGTTGTGTTTGTAATTCTCACGGTTAATTGAACTGTTCATCTGATCTATCACGATGAGCTGGTATCTGTTTAGCAGCTCTCTCTCTGCCTCTTCTCTTTTAACAAAAGGAATGATTTTCAGGCTTTCCTTATTCCAGGGCTCAAGATTCCTGATAGTCTCTTGTTTTTCTAGTGGAAACTCTGGTTCTGGGCCCTTACATTCATCCTCGCCAACTCTGACCTTGAGTTTCTGACGCAGTATGGGTCTCGTGTTGAAGTCAAACACTACCCATTGCTCATAAAGGCCTGGTTGGTCAGATCTGAAGGACACTGGGATTTCATACTCTGCAGAAACAAATCACAATAACTTAGTTGAAAATAATTAGTGAGCTTGGCAGTTAAATAATTACTGACTTAATACGTTTAGTAAAAGCATGCCGAAGGTTTCTTTCTGGGTTTTGTAAGAAATATTCAGTCTTCACCTGTTTGGTTCTTTTTAAACCAATCACTATTGGAATATGACCGTTCCTCATTGGGGTCTTTGCTGAGGCTGAATTTCGCCCCCAGTTCCCGTTTGAGTAAAGCAATCACTACTAGAGGATCCTGGAAGGTTTTTAGTTAAATTGAAAGTACAGATTAATGCCATTGAAGATGTTGCTATCCTACACTACTAACACATTTACAGCTGTCTAAACATGTTTAGAAATGGACATAGGCATCATACATTTATCCCACCATATAGACAACATATGCACTTTGGTACAAAAAATTTGCTTTTTAAAGGATGCCTTGAATCTTTTTTTATGTCACTTAGGGACTTAAGGATTTTGACTTCCTCAAGGTTCATTGATCATTTAGCTAAGTACAAAACACTGCTTTGGTATATCAAAATTATGAGTGGAACTAGTGCTGGGCGGTATACCGGTTCATACCGAATACCGGTGTTTATTTTTGTTATGATACCATAATTCTTAAAACTAATTGTAAGTGTATAGTATCATTAGAAACTGTTACTACTATACTGTAACTAAAACAACCCTATCAAACAAACATTCGTATATCTGTTAATGTACAAACCTTCGAAATAATGGTAAGATTCCATGTACATTGTATTCCCTTTTTCCTTACATAGACACTGTCTAAATCTGGGTCACAGGTGATAAAAACATCAGGAAGGGTGTCGCTGACCTGCAGGAATATAGTTATGACGTTGTAAAAAGTAAATATGTACAATAATAATCAAGCTTTGGTTGTAAATATATAAATTAAAAATTAACATGGACCAATAAAATTAATTTATCATATATAACACATTCATTAAATACAAGAAGCTAAATTAAATGCAAGTAGCAATGCAAAGTGTCAAAGATCAGAGGTACAACTGTCAACATTTGGGATACTGCCCCAGAGCTTTACTCACTGTGCCACTAATGATGTTATATATTGTTAATTACTTACAATCATTTTCTTGTCATTGCTGTGTCTGTATTCATCCAAAAGACTGTCCTGATAGGACAGTAGGCCCATCTCGTCTACATCCCTGGCTCTTTTCCGTGAAGCCTTGATTCTTTTTTGCCATTCACGAAGTTCCTCTTGACTGTGTGCCTTTGTGCAGTTATCACCATACTCGCATAGCAGGGATCTATGGGAGAACGTTTTATAGGCTGCTTTAACTTACTTCGACACAAGCAAACATCTAATGCCAAGTCGTCACACTTCATATAAAATACCTTTCACACAATTTCTGGTCCTTGTATGTTGGTGGTGGATCACGGTACTTCCAAGTCTGAGAGGTATCTTCAAAAATCAGTCTCCTGTGCTTCACAGTGAAACAGTGGTTCATCAGATCCTCAACGTTTGGGATGTGGACCTGGCACAATGTGCAGTCAAACTGTCCTCTTTTCTCTTGAGACTTTGACTGCAGTGTCCTTTGGTTTTGTTTGATCATTTTCACAAGCTTAGGAATTATCAGGTTTTCATCCTTCATGACGTTCCACAGCGCTGCTTCTTCTGAGCTCCTAGCATAGGTACATTTCCTTCCATGCTGTGTGCATCCACTTTCTTCAGTGAAGTACCAGCAAACAACATATTTGAAAGGTCTGGGGAAGTCTGGCAGGGGAGCAACGGGCCTCCACAATGAATTGCTACCTTTCCGCTTGATCAGTAAGATGTCTTCTGAGCAGTTATGGATGATCTCCTTATAGGAGTATGAAATCTCATTGTGTTTTTTACAGCACTTATTACATCTGACACACAGCTTGTATGACTCTAATGTTTGAAGATTATGATGATTTCCTGCAAAAGCCATGATTTAAGGGACATGAAATTCCTGCAAATAGAAATAGTTTGCAATTAGAGGTTTTCACTACTTGCATTTACAACTTATTTTTTGTTGTCGTTTTTGTTCCCTTAAGATTTTCCTATTGGTTTTTTATAATGTTTTTTTTTCAAAATATGAGTAAAACAAGGTCTGTGATAAATATAAATTGACAATACTTTGACGTTTTGCTTTACAACTTAATGTTTGTACATAAGAACGTTTGGGTTGTGAGCTTCTGCATTTTATGCTGTACAACAACATGTCCAAATATTGTCAAGTTAGGAAAATCTCAAGGGAACCCAAAGCGAATTAGTCTTCCGGGTTTTGACGTCATGGCTGCAGCACTCTATTACACATTCCAATATTGATCAATAAGCTTTTTCAGGCTGAATAAACATCAGCTGTAGAGAACATATCTTTACATACGGTAATGTGTGTCTATAAAAACGTGTGTGGTAATTGCAAATTATTTACCTGCCACCTTTACATTTCAATAAAGGAAAATACAAAAACAAATACTGTGTAAGTGCAGTTATGACACAATAAGCACATAACTATTTCTTATATTTAAGGATATAAACTACAGATTAAAGTAAACACCTATAACGACGATTTCAGATCACCTGGTTTTTTATAATGGGGTTTTTCAAAATATGAGCAAAACAAGGTCTGTGATAAAATAAATTGACAATACTTTGACGTTTTGCTCTACAACTTAATGTTTGTACATAAGAACGTTTGGGGTGTGAGCTTTTGCATTTTATGCTGTACAACAAAATGTCCAAATATTGTCAAGTTAGGAAAATCTCAAGGGAACCCAAAGCGAATTAGTCTTCCGGGTTTTGACGTCATGGCTGCAGCACTCTATTACACATTCCAATATTGATCAATAAGCTTTTTCAGGCTGAATAAACATCAGCTGTAGAGAACATATCTTTACATACGGTAATGTGTGTCTATAAAAACGTGTGTGGTAATTGCAAATTATTTACCTGCCACCTTTACATTTCAATAAAGGAAAATACAAAAACAAATACTGTGTAAGTGCAGTTATGACACAATAAGCACATAACTATTTCTTATATTTAAGGATATAAACTACAGATTAAAGTAAACACCTATAACGACGATTTCAGATCACCTTCTCTTAAAGGAAGAGTTCACCCAAAATGAGATTATGTAATGATTTTTTAATTCTGTCATGCCGAGTACGGAATTCTTTCATCCGTGTAACACAAAAGTCAGAATGAGAGACTTAGTCACCATTCACCTCTGACTGTACGGACAGTAATTAAAGTGGCGACTGAAGCTGCCAGCTTTTGAATTCCACAGATGATTATGTAATTTAATGATCTTTTTAATAAAGCTTCATTGACTATTTTATACTAAATAATAAGATGTTCATAAAAGAATCAGGTAACATGAATAAGTAATGCACAGCATTATCTTACCTTCATATTTTCCTTCCCATCCCAATGGTTTTCTGATATGTCATGATCTTCCTGTAACACTGGATGTTTCAGCCGCTCTCATGTGTCATGTGCATCTAGAGGTGTTTAAACAATTTATAGAGATGTTGCTGAGCGACGCTGTATAAACCACTCCCCTAGAATTAAATAAGTTTCCTTTTCCAGGACAGTGCGCTTGTACAAAACAGTGCAAACGCAGTTTCAGCTTTCAGTTTCAATACTGATGAAATCCACAGGAAACAGACATCTGTTACTAACAAAAGCACAAAAAACAAGCCTTAATGTTCCTGTTAGACTTTTTAGAATATCTACACCAATTTCAGGATACATCAGTTTACCCTTTTATGTTTTTGCGATCATTCAGACAAAATTGGAAATGAATATGCTAGCACGTAACATGCATTTTTTAACAATGACTGAACAAATTAGTCATGTTTTCCCCATTGCACAAGCTTAAATTGTTCCTGAAATATTTCATAACGGATCTTTTCTACTAATACACTGAACGTTCTTTACCCTGCATTTAAAATGTTTCCTTTAACAAGAAAGTAACAATCTTATAAGGAAAACAAAACAGATGCACACTGTACATAAAAAAACATTGTTATGTGGGGATCACCCGTTTAATTTTTCATGCAGAATTACATTGTAGCAGTTTCAAAAAGTAGCAAATGATTGAATTTAAATAAAGGAACATTGTTTCTAAAGCTGGAGTCCTTCAAAAGGATACTCTGTAACACACAACTATGAACGCCGTAGGATGTAGCTGATGTGCCCATATTTTCTATGCGGAGCATCGCTTACAAAAACAAATACGGCTTATCGCACATGACCGAAAATGCCTGAGGTGATTACAGACTGGAATGGTACACAAATTATTAAACAAATCAGGTGAATGAAACTGCTTTAATGGTACCTTGAGGACTGACGTCATGCATATTTGAAGCGTAAATATTTATTCTACCACCTGACCACTCCCTTCAGTGCCATCTTAAGTAAAGTTATGTAAAGTTTGGACAAACAAAACAGGTTTACATTATGGCTGCATGCCCTGTACAAATTAGTCATGTTTTCCCCATTGCACAAGCTTAAATTATTAAATTATTATACAAGCTGAAATATTTCATAACGGATCTTTTCTACTAATACACTGAACGTTCTTTACCCTGCATTTAAAATGTTTCCTTTAACAAGAAAGTAACAATCTTATAAGGAAAACAAAACAGATGCACACTGTACATAAAAAAACATTGTTATGTGGGGATCACCCGTTTAATTTTTCATGCAGAATTACATTGTAGCAGTTTCAAAAAGTAGCAAATGATTGAATTTAAATAAAGGAACATTGTTTCTAAAGCTGGAGTCCTTCAAAAGGATACTCTGTAACACACAACTATGAACGCCGTAGGATGTAGCTGATGTGCCCATATTTTCTATGCGGAGCATCGCTTACAAAAACAAATACGGCTTATCGCACATGACCGAAAATGCCTGAGGTGATTACAGACTGGAATGGTACACAAATTATTAAACAAATCAGGTGAATGAAACTGCTTTAATGGTACCTTGAGGACTGACGTCATGCATATTTGAAGCGTAAATATTTATTCTACCACCTGACCACTCCCTTCAGTGCCATCTTAAGTAAAGTTATGTAAAGTTTGGACAAACAAAACAGGTTTACATTATGGCTGCATGCCCTGTTGTGCCTTATAGTTCTGCCTCTGACTTTAGGACTCAGGAATGTCATAATTGTGTGTACTTTTAAATGTGTTTTCAGATCCACCTACCGACAAAAACACAGGTAAACAAAAGTAGCAGTATGTGAGCAAACAAAACAGCTTCGGTTTCATTTATCTGTAATTTCAATCACACTCTGGCCAGAGTTTGTCATGACGCACACACACACACAAACAAACACACCCTCATTTTACTCCGCTTTAATGACTGATTTAGCAGTACTTGATTGCATACGAGTCTTATCAGCAGCAATAAAAGTCCTAATGGTTTAGAAAATACTGCGCCAGTAATTTCCATATTCAATACCTGATCAGAAACCAAAAAAACTTGCAAGAGACAGAAACTTCACAGATCCTCAGGAGACACTAAACTGCTATAGAGGGTGATAAACAACAACTAAAATATCCTGATGTGTTGCCAACAAAAATAATCCATTGGATGCATTCTTAGTTTCCCTCAGTTGCAAAAATGACAGACAGCTTATTACGAACTTATGCTTTAATCTTATTTTAAATGGTTTTCGGTAATCAGTTAGCAGCATATAGCTTAGACGTTTCTCTTTCAGGTCACTGAAAAACAAACCAACAAATCTGAGTCAGAGACCCTTGAACTGCACCTAAACTACCAACGTGAATGAATCATATCCTATAAAGGGCAGTGTGAATGTGGATACAGTCATGTTTTTTTGATTTTGTGAGATTCAGCTCTGCTAAATAACAGCCTAGACCAGACTAAATGACCAGATTGTACCATTGCTGGTTACACATTAAAGGGGTCATATGATGCGATTTCAATTTTTCCTTTCTCTTTGGAGTGTTACAAGCTCTTGGTGCATAAAGAAGATCTGTAAAGTTGTAAAGACTAAAGTCTCAAATCCAAAGAGATATTCTTTATAAAAGTTAAGAGTCAACCACGCCTACCTAAAACGGCTCGTTCTAACACACCCCACATACCTACGTCACTATCTGGGAAGAGTTGCATAACGCCGCCCAAATAGTGACGTAGGTATGTGGGGGCGTGTTAGAACGAGCC